ACTCTTCACTCATTACATTAGTTATTTTGGTAGCTGTTATCAGCCTTATTTTAGAAAGAAAGGAACCTGAGTCATAGAGTAAGGTGCATGAATAGAGATGAGTTTACTTAGCACCTCTTTAAAGGTTTAGGATTTGTGGTCTGTTATTTAAGCCACTACCTATAGTGCTGCTGTGAGTCAGAATCAACTCCACAGCATGAGGCTTGGGGTTTGCATTGAGAGAGAAGTAGCAGTTTACAGTGATCAAGCTAAATGTAAGTTCTCTGTAAATAATTTAAAATTAGAGATAACTTTTGAAAACAGACCATTTATTTTCTTGTATTTAATCCATTCAAAGTCTACTTTTTATTTACATGGATGAAATAGCTTAGCATTATAAACAATTAAGGATAAAGATAGAAAAGTCAATATCAAAAAGCACTGAAAGTAAATAAACAAAAACAGTAATCAATTAGGTGAGTGGCCAGTCTCTTTAACCACTTTATTTTCTATAATGTTAAATGTTTCTTTAATTTTACCAAAGGTTACCTATTTACAAGGAGCTGAGCATGCTTCCAGTGTGTAAAACCATTTTTCTTTTCACGTTTTGTTTAACTGTATACTAACCAGAGTGTACACAGCACAGAAGAAGGGGAAAAGTTTCTACAGTCATACGGAATCAATTTCTCCATTGTCTGCATTTTTCCAGCTGCTTGATCCGGGGCAAGTTCATCTTGTTCCTCATTCCTCAAGTTCCTTATTTATGAAAGGGGTACAAAAAGATCTACGTATCGTAACTATTGAGATCTTATAGCATGGCCAATGTGCATATATTAATGAGTTTACTCCTATCCTGTTTTGTTCTCTTAACTAACTAATCAACTAACCTGCTGCCATCTAGTTGATTCTGACTCATGGTAACCCCATGTGTGTCAGAGTAAAACTGTGCTCTGCAGGGCTTTCAATGGCTGTATTCTTTTGGAAGAAGATTGCTAGTCTTTTCTTCTTAGATGCTCATGGGTGGATTCAAACTGCCAATCTTTCGATTAGTAGTCAAGCGCTTAACAATTTGTGCCACCCAGGGATTCTTTTATATCTCCTAAACCGCCCCTCTTTCTTCAAAGTGTTATTGCCATGTATATATCTATCACTGTCCTGATAAAAAAGGATTAAAAAGCAACGGCAATGACAGTGTTCACCTGTGAAAACACTTAGTCTATTTAATCAATTACAGGCTTTATTTTATATATTAACTACCAAGCTAGTGACACATGAAAAAATATAGCCTTTGACCACACACTAGTCAATGAACTGAACATAATAGTTTAAAATTGGAAAGAAAGCTTATAGATAATTCATTTTG